AACGGTCAACTGCCCAACTGACCGTTGAGCCCAGAGGAGGACATTCCACCAAGACCCCCCCCTTTGGAACGTCAACTCTTCTGCATATCCTGGCAACGGGCTCCTCCCTGCCCCACCGCCTGCCTCGGGGAAAGCCCCCCCTCCCTCCGTGCTCCCCTCTTTCCTCTTGGGCTCCCCAGAACGTGGTCTTGAAGGATAGACTGCCACCGACCCTGGAGGTTCGTGTCGACTAGGCATGGATATTAAAGTAGGAGTGGACTATTTCAGCAAGCTGGAGAGCCAGTTTTCCGCCCCCAGAAAACTGCACGAGTCACACAGAAAACAACAAAAAACCCACATGAAATTAGAAGTGTTAAAATGCCTGTTTCTTAATGTGAAAAAAAGTTATTTTTAGTGTCTAGGAGGGCCCCTGCGTTTTTTTCCCCCTGGAGATTCATCTGAGTGTTGCACTGGAAGGCTTTGCATGACCCAACTCCAGGTTGATAGAATAACTTCCGATATCCTCTTAAATGTTTGCATCCGGCAAACATTTCTGTTTCAGTTCCTTCCAGTATTGCACTCTGTTTATGGACAGAGTTACATAGTTACATACTGTCTGAAATAAGACAGGCTTTCTTCTTTTCATGAATTTATTTTGTTTGTAAATACACAATTGCACACTGACGAAGAATGCGGATGGATTTATAAACTCAGCCAAAGGTTACAAAGTAACCTTTGGTCGGGGAAATGGAATGATTCAGAGTAACTCTTTGGTAGAGTTACTCTGTAGCATTTAAAATGGCGACTGGAAACCTGATGTCTATCTGTCAATAACATTGTATCTTCTTGCCCACCAATCTTATAGGCTCATTTCCTTCTCTTTCTTTATCAGGTTTCTTGTATTTTAAGGACTTCCGAGGATGGCCCGTACAAAGCAGACTGCCCGTAAATCCACTGGTGGGAAAGCTCCCCGAAAGCAGCTGGCCACTAAAGCCGCTCGGAAAAGCGCGCCGTCCACTGGTGGAGTAAAGAAACCTCACCGCTACAGGTACCTAAATTTGGCATGGGTGGCAGCTGGCATCAGATGAGCAGATGTAGCCTAAAGGCCTGCATAGTGTGAGAATGCTCTTAGGGGTTGTCTTTTGTGTTGATGCAGATTTGGGAAAGAGGAAGCATCTTTTATTTTTACGCACGCACTGGTTTCCTTCCGTATTCACTAGCCATCTCTGGCTTTTGCCAGAACCTGGAGGCTGTCACAGGTCTCTTCCCACCCACACCCACCCCCCGAGATATTGACTGAGAAATGAAACAAACTATGTCCATGTCCTTCCGTTCAGGCCTGGGACTGTGGCGTTGCGAGAAATCCGGCGGTATCAGAAATCCACGGAATTGCTGATCCGCAAGTTGCCGTTCCAGCGCTTGGTCCGTGAAATTGCTCAGGACTTTAAGACGGACCTGCGGTTCCAGAGTGCTGCCATTGGCGCTCTGCAGGTTTGTATGGTTTCCTGCTGCCTTTCTCTCCGTTGTCAATACACATTCAGTGAGCTGCTCCCTTTCTGACAGTTTTACAGGCCACGATCCTGCTTCTCTCCTGTAGAAAGGGCTGTGTAATGCAGCTTCCTGCTGCTTTCTTCAGTGGCTTTGTTTCCAACTAGAAAACATTTCCTAAAACATGCCCTTCGGTGCTTTTGCCACATCAGTCTCTTCATTTATCAGCTTCTCCCCCCCCCTCATATTTAGCCCCAATTCAGTGTGAATTCAGATCTAACACTGAATACGTGTTAGATCTGAACTGGAGATTCTGTTTGTGCTTTCCTTTTAATCACACTAGAATTTGGGAAGAGACAGGCGCCTTCTGTGCCTTGGCTATTAACACACAAGTGGTCCAGATGCTGCCTGCAGGTGGTGTGTAGCCCTCAGGGCTGCTTCCAAACCTCCTGATGCCCAATATCTCTCCAGGCTAAGGAGGCAGAAAAATGTTTTTATTTTCACCCTAGGAGATGCAATATATGCATTAAGCAGATCAAGAATGGGTTCTCCCACAGCTCCCAAAGTCAAAAGTATCTAGGTATTTCCAGTTCTGATTTTTTAAAAACATTTCCAGCTATTTTCAAGCTCAATTGATGCAAATATTGTAAGCCAATATTGGACTTACAGACCCTCCGAGACTATCCACTCCAGAATTAGAATATCAGCTGGTTTGGGGCTATCTTAAGGGAGAAACCTCAGTTGGTCTTACTCTTCTGGTAGTAGGAAGCTCTTGCAGAACTTGAAAAAGTTGCTTTGGCGGAACTAAGACTTCTAGAGTTACTGACCATGGTAGCTGTGTCCTTCTGGGAGTTGTAGTGCAGGACTATTTCTGAGCTTTTGCCTCTTGACTGTACTGGCAGCAAACATCTTTGTCCAATTAAGAAGTGGGTGCCACTCTGGTAATGAGCATTAGTTAGTGTGTGGTAGCAGCTCCTCCTTGTGGGAGCAGATTGCATTGCAAAGCTGGTCTCCGTGTATCTCTCAGCTCTATTCTTTTCAACCTGCTAAGGCCAGGAAAGCTGGCTGGATAGATCGGTAGTACAGTGGTGCCTCGCTTAATGATTTTAATTGGTTCCACAAAATTTGTCGCGAAGTGAAAACATCGCTAAGCGAAACGCGGTTTCCCATTGAAATGCATTGAAAACCAGATAATCCGTTCCAATAGGAACAAATTGCCATCCTTAAGCAAAAATCGCCATAGGAAACATTGCTAAGCGAAACGTGGTTCCCCAATTGAAATACATTGAAACCTATTCAATGCATCTCAATGGGGGGAAAAAATTCAACAAATTAAAAAAGAGAACAAAGTCAAATTTGGTTAACAAAGGGTTTATTAAGTGCACTTTATGATTTCAAACATTTTAAACAGTAAACTTTAGCTTTATGACATTTAAAAAACAGCAGACATGAGGCTGTTTAAACCATCGTTAAGCGAAACAGGGGACCCCAAAATTTAAATGTTATGTGAAACATGGTCCCAGCATCGCTAAGCGAAAATCGCCCAGAGGGACCATCGTTAAACAAAGCGCAAAAATGCTCCGAAAAAGTCGTCGCTAAGCGGCTACCTGGGATTTGAACCCCAGGTCGTGAGCACAGTTTTAGCTGCAGTACAGCGTTTTAACCACTGCGCCACGAGGCTCCAGAGCCAGAGGTTAGGAGTTTGCTCCCCCCACTGTGCCTCCAACGAAAATTGCCAGCCTAGGCTGCAGAGCCAGAGGTTGGGAGTTTGCTCCCCCCACTGTGCCTCCAATGAAAATTGCCAGCCTAGGTGGCCTTGGGCAAGCTGCACAGTCCCAACCACTTCTTTGTACTCTGTATATAGAAAATCCTGAAAAGTGTCACCATAAGTTAGAATTAATTTGACACGCATCATCATTCATAATCATAAGAGTCAGGAAGGGTGCTTCTTCTTTTGGTGGAAGAAGGCAGAATTTTATATCTTTCCTCCATAATAATCTTAGAATAATCTTTGAACTGCTGAGCTGGAAGGCACTCTGTGGGTCACTCAGTCCAGCCTCTATCGAGGAGGCCCCGTGGGGAATCGAACGCCCAACTTCTGGCTTTGCAGCCTACGTTACTGAGCTGTCCAGCAGCGTAGTACAACAGCATAAATGAATCAGCCTTCTGATGCATGCCCGACAAGGACTCTTTCAACTTTTAAAATGTTGGAAGCACTGAACACTGCTTCTTGCAGATTCGAGATGCTGCTCTCTGTTGCCTTCTGCCCCCTGCCTGCATCTGTGCATTTCTATACAGTTCCCTACAAAGCAGCCGGCTTCTGACTCTTTATTTCTATATTTCTTTGACAGGAAGCCAGCGAGGCGTACCTCGTAGGTCTCTTTGAAGACACCAACCTGTGTGCGATCCACGCCAAGCGGGTCACCATCATGCCAAAAGACATACAGTTGGCTCGCCGTATCCGTATCGAACGGGCTTAAGTTCCTCCCAACCAAACACTTAAACAACCCCCCCTCCCTGGGCAGCCCCACCCTGCTTGTGCAGTGTACTTAGTATACACTCCAGGTTTTATTTTTAATTTTTTTCTCCTACTCCTGTTTGTAGTGGCTAGGACATGTGAGGAAATGTTAGATTATCTCTCGTAGTACCCCTCCAAAACCAGGAGACTCGATTCCTATTCATCATGTGCAAGCAAAAAAAGAGAAAGAATCCCTTTGAAATCTGCAAGACCTCTGGATGTTGTTTTTTGTAAAACCTTTTTTTTCAGAATTGCAAAAAAAAAATAAAAATAAAAAACAAGAACAAACCCTACAGGGGATACTTTTGAAATATCTGGTTTTGTATACACAATTTAAGTAGATGTAGGCATTTCAACTATAAGAGCTTTCGGTCTTCAGTTTGTAAAATATCTGGAAAGAACACTACACACTTTTTTTCCCTTTGTATTTAGCAAGGAATGCTTTCCAAATCATTTTTTTTCCTTTCCTGTTTTCCATTTGTCTTGTATCTGTGACTTTGACCTTTGTACCAATAGGGACTCACCTTGAAGCAGTAAAGGAAAACAAATAAATGTTGAATGACAACAGTTTTTGCTGCCTTAGTTTTTGCTTTAATGCCAGCTTGTGGAAAACTTTACCACGTTTTGCAAGAGATAGAGCTGTTAAGATGACAAAAAATCCTAGGGTGGGCAATATAGTTAGTATGATACAGCATTTGTTTCATGTAATATACAGAGTACAGTACTTCATGCAGGTTGTCTTGATGATTGTTACACAATCCCAGTAAGCTAGATCCTTGATTTAATCATATTGTACAACTGAAGTTTGAAGAGTGACTTCCCGGCCAAGAACAGGACAGAGGGAAGATTTTAACTGGGGACATTTGGGTCAAATTTATTTATTTATTTATTAGATTTTTAAAAGCTTAGTCTCCTGCTCCCACTGCTCTCCAATCTGCATGTTTTGCAGTTTTGTGCAAATTCATTTTAAGAGTAACAGCTTTCTCATGGGTCAAATTTATTTATTTATTTATTAGACTTTTAAAAGCTTAGTCTCCTGTTCCCACTGCTCTCCAGTCTGCATGTCTTTGCAGTTATGTGCAAATCCTTTTTAGGAGTAACAGCTTTCAGTCCTCTTGCCACTTCCAGCTGGCCCTGGTTTTGTTTTTTTTTTTAGCAGATCGATGGAGAAAAAAAAGAGGTGAAGCCTACCTTGCCTGGAAATCAGTTGTGAGAAAAGGTATGGCTGCCCAGATGGCTTGTGTGTTTGCCTGCTGGCAACAGGCCCTGCTCAGGTGCCTTTAAAAACAAGGTGACCTTACCCTGAATTGATTCCGACCTCTTGTGGAAGTAAATGAGAATATAAGACAAGACCTAAGTGAGCTGCAAATAGGGTTGGGAGTGCATTTGATCAACTGAAAGGCGAGCTTGGTTATTCAAGTTTAAGGTTTTGTGGGGGAAATACTGCTTTAATGACAGTACACAGCATCACCTTATCAGAGATGCTTTTCTGCTTCATACCTTTCAGAATGGTGCTTGCTTTGCAACTCATCCTTCAGAAATACATTTCTGGAGCGGGAGGGGTTAGTAACCGTATTAGTCTCTCGTCTCAAAACCATCTGATGAAGTGGCTTGTCCACAAAAAGCCTATACCAAATAAAATGTGTTGGCCTCTCTGAGATGCTAGAAGACTTTGCTGTTTTATAAACATAGGCAGTGCTTTGTTTCTTTTGCAGAACCTTGGTTTTAGTTACATGCATGTATCGTGGTTTGATATGTGGATTATAATGCGTGCCATCAGTTTTGTTTTGAGTGCTCGTTCTAACAGAGAGAAAAGTCTTGGCATTAAGGTGGGCTCTTGATGTTCTCCTGTCCTTAATTAAGTAACCCTAACTTTTGAGGTTCTGTTAATCTGGTTACTAAGCTTTATAGTGAAACAAACTGAGCAGTATTAATGGTTAGCAGCCTTCCGAAGAAAGTGTTGAAAGATGCCTTGTAGCCATCTACAGAAACTGCCTGTCAGTTGTCTTTGGAACCTGTTCCCACTTGATGCCTGCTTCCTGGAAGAGGTGGGTGGAGGATCCCACCCTGCATTTGTTCTTTGCTGACTGCAAAGATATCCGTAGGATCAAGAGACAGAGAAAGTTCAAGGTATGTACAGCCAAACCACCCCAAGTTTTAAAAACCTGCACTCAGAGTTGTGCCTAAAAGGTATACATCTGAGGAAGTGCACTGAATCTAATGAAAGCTTATGCTGAGTAAAACTTGCCTGTTTTTAAGATCTGCTAGGAACTCGCTCTGGGGCTGGTGATCCTTCTGCCAGAATCTGGAGAACTTTATTTTTTAAGAAATGAAAAATTTCCTAGCCTTCATACTTGTGCAAAGAGAGCTGAGCTATTTTGTGAAACATGTGCCAAGAAGAGTGACGAATATATTTTATTGCCTAAAGAGCTGCTCTCTAAAGCTGGTCAACCCTCCATGGCTATTTCCCTGCTTACCATTCCTGCCACTAGTGAAGCTACACAGCATCT